CCAGAATGATAAAAACTCTTACCAGAATAATAAAAACTCTTACCAGAATAATAAAAACTCTTACCAGAATGATAAAAACTCTTACCAGAATGATAAAAACTCTAACCAGAATGATAAAAACTCTACCCAGGATGATAAAAACTCTTACCAGAATGATAAAAACACTTACCAGAATGATAGAAACTGTTACCAGAATGATAAAAACTGTTACCAGAATGATAAAAACTCTAACCAGAATGATAAAAACTCTTACCAGAATGATAAAAACTCTAACCAGAATGATAAAAACTCTACCCAGGATGATAAAAACTCTTACCAGAATGATAAAAACACTTACCAGAATGATAGAAACTGTTACCAGAATGATAAAAACTGTTACCAGAATGATAAAAACTCTAACCAGAATGATAAAAACTCTTACCAGAATGATACAAACTCTTACCAGAATGATAAAAACTCTTACCAGAATAATAGAAACTCTTACCAGAATGATAAAAACTCTTACCAGAATGATAAAAACTCTTACCAGAATAATAAAAACTCTTACCAGAATGATAAAAACTCTTACCAGAATGATAAAAACTCTTACCAGAATGATAGAAACTCTTACCAGAATGATAAAAACTCTTACCAGAATGATAAAAACTCTAACAGAATGATAAAAACTCTTAACAGAATGATAGAAACTGTTACCAGAATGATAAAAACTGTTACCAGAATGATAAAAACTCTAACCAGAATGATAGAAACTCTTACCAGAATGATAAAAACTGTTACCAAAATGATAACAACTCTAACCAGAATGATAAAAACTCTTACGAGAATGATAAAAACTCTTACGAGAATGATAAAAACTCTTACCAGAATGATAAAAACTCTCACCAGAATGATCAAAACTCTTACCAGAATGATCAAAACTCTTACCTGAATGATAAAAACACTTACCAGAATGATAAAAACTCTTACCAGAATGATCAAAACTCTTACCAGAATAATAGAAACTCTTACCAGGATGATAAAAACTCTTACCAGAATGATCAAAACTCTTACCAGAATGATAAAGCTCTTACCAGAATGATAAAATCTCTTACCAGAATGATAAAAACTCTTACCAGAATGATAAAAACTCTAACCAGAATGATAAAAACTCTAACCAGAATGATAACAACTCTAACCAGAATGATAAAAACTCTTACCAGAATGATAACAACTCTAACCAGAATGATAAAAACTCTAACCAGAATGATAACAACTCTAACCAGAATGATAAAAACTCTCACCAGAATGATAAAAACTCTTACCAGAATGATAAAAACTCTTACCAGAATGATAAAAACTCTAACCAGGATGATAAAAACTCTTACCAGAATGATAAGAACTCTAACCAGAATGATAAAAACTCTTACCAGAATGATAAAAACTCTTACCAGAATGATAAAAACTCTTACCAGAATGATAAAAACTCTAACCAGAATGATAGAAACTCTTACCAGAATGATAAAAACTGTTACCAGAATGATAACAACTCTAACAGAATGATAAAAACTCTTCAACAGAATGATAAAAACTGTTACCAGAATGATAAAAACTGTTACCAGAATGATAAAAACTCTAACCAGAATGATAGAAACTCTTTCCAGA